TGGCGCAGGATAGAGCAGGGTTTAGAGCTGTTGTGCATATGGTCGCTATGAGTCGGAAACGACTCGATGGCACATAATAACAACAATAATCCTGATTTAGGAGGTGGGAGAGAAACATTATATAATTTAGAAACAGAAAGGTCAGTCAGTTCCAGTAAAAAGCATGAAAACACATAAATAAAAGTTGGACGGGTTGTTTAAGGGAGGAGACTTGAAAGAGGGTTTGTGGAGGGATAGAGAAAAGAGTGTCATCACTTTGAAAAAGCCTTTGAAAATTAAGTGAGTGTACAGAAAAATCAATGAATTTTTAAAAAGTGATAATATACAGGATCCTGATAAAATAGACAATGAGATCACTAGCAGCTGTTCATATAATATTCATCAAACACCATCGAGCCAGGCACAGACACAACAATGAAAGGACACAGGCACCCTCCTGTCTTCTACAGCAAGTAGATAAATACAGACTGTAGAAGTGTGTTGAGTAGAAAATTAAACAAAAACCTTAGGAAGCAAGGATGGTCAGATTCCAATTCAAAACTTTGGGCATGTCATCAGGTAGGACCAGTCTTTAGAAAAAGGACATTGTGCTTGGACATTACATAAGAGAGTCAGCAAAAAGAGAAGACCCTTAATGAGATGGCTTAACAGAATGACTGCAGCAGAATGTGTCACAGCAGATTGTGAGGAAGATGTAGGTGTTTGCCATTTCCTTTTGTTGAATAAGATGTTCCTATGGTACTAGAGAAAAGTACTGAATATCCCATGGACTGTCAAAAGAACAAACATATACCTTGGAGAAAGGACAGCCATGAGAATGTCCTTCAGAGACAAAGATGGCAAAGTTTTGTCTCAAATACTTTTGGCATGTTGCTAGATGTTATTCCTTAGAGAGAGAAATCATACATGGAGAGGTGGAAAGTCCGTGAAAGAGAGGAAGACCTTCAACCATGGGAATTGACACTGTGACTGCAGCAATGGACTTAAGCGTGTCAGAGATGATGAGGATGACACAAAATAGAGGAGCACGGTTCAGACCTGTTGTTTGTAGGGTTGCTATGAGTTGCACTCAACTCAAAGGCACCTAACAACATGAGTCAGAGCCTGACTTCACCAAGCCTAACAATAGCAACTGTCATCTACGGCCATACCACCCTGAACGCGCCCAATCTCGTCTGATCTTGGAAGCTAAGTAGGGTCGGGCCTGGTTAGTACTTGGATGGGAGACCACCTGGGAATACCGGGTGCTGTAGGCTTTAAAAAAAAAAAAAAAGAAAAGAAAAAGAAAAACAAACACAACAACAATAGCAATCGTCATAGAAAATCGGGGTTAGGGTAAGTCAGGGTAGGTATGTCAGGTGTTTATCAGAAAAAGTTCTCTCTGAGATAAACTGAGAAGCTAGAGATATAAAGTCAAGTATTGTGTAATGAATCCATGACAGCAATTTTCTAGTAGCTTTAAAACCAGAGCAACAAGAGTTAGAAGTTGACGAAAAGTGAGGTTGAGGAAATAGCAGGGCCCGGAACATGGTACTATTAGGACTGCAGAGCCCTTTCCTTCCTCTTCCAGAATGGCTACTGAGAATCCAATCACAGGAAACATCAGCTGTGCTTTTTTTCTCTATGAAACTACACTACTCCCCTTTAGCCAGGAATAGTTATCTGAGACCCTTGCTCACTTTTCCCTATCTCGAAGAAAGCATGTGTAAGCATTCCCTTCCCCAAGTCCCTTGTAGGAAAATATAAAAGCCCCTCTAAGTTTTAGTGGGGGTTGGTTTTCTGCTTGAGAACCAGCCTGGCAGTTTCTCCTCAATAAACTGTCTGTCTTGGCAGGTAGTAAGTTCTGTCCTTCTTCGGCGGCCTTACAGGTACTACATTTGGGGAGTATGCAGGGTGGAGATAATATTTAAGGCCACCAAGGGAGTGCAAATAAGGACTAAATTAATATATATTTAGGGAGCCTAGTGAGTAAAACTTTGGCACTGTCAACCCAGAGGCAGGAGATTAAAATCCACCAGCTGCTCCTTGGGAGAAAGAGAGGCAATCTCCTCACCTATGATTTACAGCCTCTGAAAACCCCCTGGAGAGTCAGCGATTAATCAGTTCCAACTCAATGGTACATAACTGCAACATATCAGAATTTAGTGCAGAGTATGTTTAACACTTAAAATGGGACAAAGAAAAGGCACAAGGAATTCTGAAAATTAACCTTGTCGTTCTAAAACTGCCAACTGACAATATGTTATCACATTAGTAATTGTTACATAACAAGAGCGCTATGATTGCACTTAGAAGTAAAAAGCTGCGTTGCAATCGCAAACACACGCAGTTCGAGTCCCCCCAGATGCTCTGCAGGAGCAAGATGGGCAATCTCCTATTGGTTAGTTCCTAGTTGATGACCAACCACAACAACAAGGAGCACGGTTTGAACTATCAGGATTTTAACAGAGCTTTTCTCGCGCCTTTCCTTCCCGATGGAGCCGGATGGCTAGCTCAGAGCCTAGGATGCGACACTGGGGGCAGGGGCTGGCCCGCGCGGCGTGATGCGGTTCGCCGGATCGGGTTCCAGAGAGGTCTGAGCGCGTGACCCCATGGCAGCGGGCGCCACAGCCCCAGCCCCAGGTGAGTCACTGTCTGGACTCAGGGCTTGGGATACAGTCTGAAAAAGGAAGGCGAGGAAAAAACAACAACAACAACCCAAAACCAACCAAACAAACCACCAAAACCCAAAACAACAACGGGAGAGAAGCTGAAGCCGCAGATAAGCTCCCAGGTGGACTATGCTGGCGGGTACTGCTTCCGAGGTCACGCGCCTTTCCGGTGCAGACCCGCGTGTAGCTGAGGAAGCTGATATACTAATCTGCAACAAAGCTTTTAAATAGAATGTCTCTTTTAAACCAGTGCCCTTTGACAGGCTATCATTTTCTTCCGTCATTTGCCCCATTCGGTGTTTAAAGACGTTATAGGGCTGGAGCTGCGTGACGTGGGGGCCAGTCCCGCCCCTCACGGCGCCATGCTGCGCGGGACCCTTGGGCTGGTGGCCTTTGCTCGCTTTCTGAGCCGAGACTGCCACGGAACCAGTAATGTCAGGGCCTTAGGCTGGAGGGACACCCAATAAGACGGGCTCGCAGCCTGGCCCGCTGTCGCCCCTTTAAATCGGGGGAACCAGGAGGAAGGCCCCACATGGCAGGCGGAAAGGGAAAGTGGGCGGGTGCGCAGCCCCTTAGAGCGCGGGGACGAGTCCATTCCCTTCATAGTGGAGTGTTTTGTATGAGCGATGGTGCTTCCTAGATTGAGCTAGGGCCTTGAGTTTTAAGAGTGTTGTTTTTTGGTTTTTTTTTAAAATCTCAATAATTTCAGATCCTAAATCTGCTTTCAAGAAAGCCTCCCCGTCCAAAATGTTGAGCGTCGGGTCCCCTTGCCGCCATAAGAGTGGTTCTTCCCGGGGGAGGGGGAGGTGGGGTCGGCGGAGCCGGCGGGAAATTGAAGCCTTGGGTAGCACCCTACATCTTGAGTCCTCTCTCTTTCTCTCTCACCCCATCCTCTGCATTCGTCTGCTCGCGTTCTCGCTGCACCACTATGCCCTGCTCCGAAGACACCCTCGCCGCCATCTCGCCCAGCAAGCGGGCCCGGCCTGCGGAGGAGGGCGGCGTGCGGCTCCGTTTTGCCCGGCTCTCGGAGCACGCCACGGCCCCGACGCGGGGGTCTGCGCGGGCCGCGGGCTACGACCTGTACAGGTGAGGGGGCCGCGCGCGCTCCGCCAAACAGGCCCTGGGAAACCCGGGGACGGCCCGCTGTGGGCATATTGAGGCGCGAAGGCAGTGAGCTAGCCCTAACGGTAACCAAGAGGCCCAGCCGGTGTAACGGTTCGAATCCACCAGTAGCTCCGCGGGACAAAGATGGGCAAGATCCCATGTGATTTTTAGTCTCAGAAACCCTGTAGCAGGTCAACCATGACTTAGTTCCGACTGTGCATACCGTTGTGAGATCTTTTAAGATATAGGTCAAGCATGTGTAGGTTACGAAACAAACCCATTTATATATGTACATATATACGTACACATGTATGTACATACATACATACACATATATGTACACACACACAGATAGACTTTTTACCTGGAAGATTTTAGCATTCAGCAAAAATCTGTAGGGACTTAAAGAGTATGCTATGATAAATATTCTACAACATGCCTCCCTTGGCCTCATTTGTTTTGCAAGACCATACCTTTTGTAAGAGGAGGACAGTGATGATTATGGTTCCTCCTGGCCCTTCAGGAGTGGCTTGCGGGTGATGCTGTCTGTGCTACATACAGAAATCTTGTGAGCCCAAGTGCACAGTAATGGGAATGAGAAGGCAGTTTTCACATTAAAGGATTAGTAAAACTTCCCCCCTGTAAATACTCAGCTTCTCCCAAGGGTGAAGGATTTCAGTAAGCTTCTGAATATGAAAAGCAGTTATGACAGTAATATTGCCACCCTTTGTACAGCACTTTTTGCCAATACTAAGAATCAATCTTGAAGTGGTTTTTGTTATGACCATCGAGTCAGAACGGACCCATAGCTGACCCTCCAGCAGGTTTTCAGAAGCAGGTGCATCACTTGGGAGATGACCCATCTCCCTCAGAGCAACTGGCAGATTCAGGTTTTGGGCCTTTGGGTTGGCAGTGCAGTTCCTTACCACTATATGAGGGGTGTTTTTGTTGTTTTTTTTAAACAGTAGTTTGCTAAGAGCTGCATAGACTTTTCAATCTAAGGGCTTGAATTTAATAGAATTTTTGACCCTGAATTCGGTGGGCTTTCCCACCACATTGACTACTGTACCTGTCCTTATAGCATTACTTTACCATTGTTAGTCACTCTACAACCTCATACACAATTGGAGACTTGTGGTTCATAGGATTTGCATTGTTTATTTTTTCACAAGTAGACCACAAAGCCTTAAGTGAGCCTACTTTCAGCAGAAACCCATTTTGTGTCATAGCAACAGGTAAAATCTCCACTGACAAATTGATTCTAACTTCATGAACCTCTTGAAGCTCAAGAGCACAACTTGGTAAACTACCCAACCAAGCAGGACAGATGTAACATAGTTCAACCTTTGCATAGATGCAACCTTTTCATCCCACTGTTGTTTGGTTTTTTTAATGCATTTTCCCCTAGTATCTTAGGGGATGGTTGTGAGAAATAAATGACATTTAATTATATAAGAGTACATGGAATAAATTAGACCTATGCATGGCACAAGACCTAGTGGCAAGAAGCTGCACCGCAATCCCAGAGATATGTGGTTCGAATCCACCAGATGCTCTGCCGGAGAAGGAGGGGCCATCTCCTCCTGTACCAGTCAGATCCAATTTGACGGTACACACACACACACACACACAAAATAATAAAATAAAAATTTTTTTTAAAAAAGAATTTAATAAATACAAGTAACTTTTAGGTTTATCTTCCTTTATTAATCTTCTTATGTTAGCAAAACAAAAGGGAGCTCTGATAGTTTAGAAGTAATAGGTTGTGCTGCCAACCCAAAGGCATGGAGTTCAGATCCACCAGCCGCTTCACACAAGAAAGATTGATAGTCTCCTCCTATGTAATTTATTGCCCCTGAAAACCTGCTAGGTCAGCTATGAGTTGTTCTAGCTCAGTGGTACATAACAATAAAAGCAATGTATACATTTTTCTGACCCCTTCTAATGCATACTTCACTTCCCCAACAAAATTTTCTCAGGGACATCTTGAAAACTTCCTTCCGCCTAAAAAAACCTCTCAGTTATTACATGTTACACCCTTATGGTTTTAATGATAAAGTAGATGAAGATAATTATTTCTTCATAGACTGTTTAGTAAATAAGTAAAAAGTTATTGCTCTGAAATCATAGGAGTATATAGAGATCTAATGCTTATAAATTATTTTGTGATTATTTTATAAAATATCTTTAAGGTAATTATATGTGCTTGAACACAAAGAACAGTGTAAAAATAGTTTTATGAAAAAATTCTGTTTACCTTTGTATTTTTCTGCTTTTTCAAAATTTTAGTGCTTATGATTATACCGTTCCACCCATGGAGAAAGCCCTTGTGAAAACAGACATTCAGATAGCCCTTCCTTCGGGGTGTTATGGAAGAGTAGGTAAGTGATTTCAGAAAAATATCATATGTGAGACTTTCCAGCAGTACTGCAGAAAAAAGGCCTGGCCAGCCTTCGTAAAGACTACAGCCAGGGAAACCCTAGGGAGCTCAGCTCTAGTAACACATAAGGTCATCAAGAGGCAGAGTTGATTTGACATCAGTGGGTTGGGGGTTTTCCCCCTCCTTTTGTTGTATATTCTTTCATCCTAGTGTTACTTGGTATATGAATGAGTGAAGCAATATTACTCAGCCTACTTAAAGAAGAGCCTTCTGTGATGGCAGATTTAACAGTTGGAAACTTTCATTTATAGATCTACTTTTACTACTGTTTTTGCTCTTTTATAATTTTCTCCTTAAGATTTAGGTTCACATCGCCATAGGAAACTTTCTCATAACTCCTCACTATAAGAAAATATAGGAGATTACTGTGTGGCTTTTTTTTTTATAGTATAAGAGCCAATTCCCATTTCAAGGATCAGTTCTTTTATATGAGACTAGATTCTATGAAGAAAATGATAGGAGTGGCTAATAATTGTTATAGAAGAGAAAAACAGAGAAAAGCTTAAGGTGACAATACATGGCATTTTCTATAATTATAATAAAACCTATCCCATTTTGTCCCCAGAGTACATCAGTCCTCTTACTCTATTTGGGCATCCTCCTCTGGTGGTATGTATTAGGATGAGAGATACCCTCTGGTATCTTTTAGAGGGAAATGTCTTAGAATAGAAGGAGCTAGGCAAGGATTTCTAGAAGAAAGGAGAGAGAGAAACCTTTTCAAGGGCATAATTACTTTCTGACTAACGTAAACCACCAAATGGAACTCCGGTATTGCCTCCCACCCCCAGTCATTGCTGCCTGCTGGGAGGAGATATCTACACACCACTGTCTAGTTAATCATAAGTATTACAAATTAGGATAGTTAGTGATGGGCCTGAGGTTAAAGTTAGTAAGTATAAGTTTTAAACATAGCTTGTTATTTTTTTTTCTCATTTTAAGGTAAAAAACATACTAGGCTTAAATACCTGAAGTTTAGTTTTGGGCATTTTGTTTCCTTAATCTCACTCTGGTTCCTTTGCGTCATGTACATGTTAGCTTTTGGCATCGGAATATTGAAGAGTTCCTTGCATAGGCTAAACTCTGCTATTTAAGTTTATGATCTTTCTTGCTTTCTCTTCCTTTCCCTCCATCTGTCCGCCCTCCCTCCCTCCATTTCTTCCTCCCTGCTATTCAAGCCCCCCTTCCTAAAAGTTCTTTCTTCAATTTTTTGTCCCTGCCAACCATAATCCTTTGCGGCCAAACCTCAAAAAAGAATTGTCTCACTGACTGTCCTTTCAGAGTATTCCAGCATTCTTAACTCCTACAACTGCATCCCCCACAGATCCTCAGTTGGCTAACATTATGTAGGAGTAGATGAAACTAGTTTTGATTTCATTTTTAAGGACTTTTTTTAGTCAACAACTTTTTGTTAATTTTTCTTTCCTATTTTGGTAAATGCAGTATGATATTAATAATCCAGACTTTTTTTCTAAAGGGTGCTGATGCTATCTCAATATACCCAAGCAAGCACCTCTTGAGGGTGTTTTCTCAATTTAAACTTAGTGTTGTGGGTTTGAAGGACATTCCAGTAAAGTAGGATAATACCAGTTTTGGTGCTTCTTTCATTTAGTAGTTCATTTTGACTTGACAGATAAAAACAATGTCACTGAATTATACATGTAAAAATAGTGGTGGTATATGTTTTGTGAATATTTTTCAAAAAATAAATTTGAAAAGGAAAATTTGGAGTCATCTGCTAAAATCAATATGAAAAAACATAGGAGATAAGAGTGATGTTCTTAACTTTGTGTCAGTCGTGTTCACTGTCATTTCTCCCTACTTAACACAGCCCTTTTCTGTTTTTGTTTTTTAGCTCCACGTTCTGGCTTGGCTGCAAAACATTTCATAGATGTAGGAGGTAAAATATTTGCATTTTTGTTCTCTTAATTTGTAAGTATGTACTTGTCTTTGCTTAAGAAGTAATATTCAGCTGGAAAAATTTTACTTTTATCTTTAAGAAAAGGAAATTATTTAGGGTTGTACCACTATAAAAATACCAATATCTGAAGTAATAGAGAATTATGATAGTTTTAAATATTATATTATTAAGCCTGCAGGCATGTTATTTTACTAATAAAGTAGGCAGTATTTGACTTTTTTTTTTGCCTCTGTTCAGTGATAATCTGCATTTAGTCCAAAAATCCTTTACTTTTGGGGCAAAGAGTTACTGCAAGGAGAAACAGAACTTTTATGTCATTGTTTCTTAAGTGGAAAATTCTAGAAAGCTTAGATGGATCTTGTAGTGACTAAACATATAAGATAACATGGATCTTGAGGGGAAAAAAAGAGTTCTGCAGAGAAAACTATCTACTTCTTGTCTTTAATGTCCACAGTGGTACCTGTTTTACTTAGAATAAAGCCTTATTGTCTTCCAAAGTTAGTCACTTCACATAGTTTCTTTCATGAGGGAGCTCCAGTCTCTGCTTGCTGCTCTCGCTGTAGAATTTCTGACTGTCTCTTCCACAGAAAGAGAATTCACAGCCCTCTCGATATGATTCTTATATATACCATTTTCTCCTCATTGGAGTGCTGACCCCTTCTTAACAGTGAGTTACTACTTCACTGATTAGATATTCTGACACCTCATGAGTAGACATGCTACTTCCCATTCCTTTTTTTTTTAAACAAAGCTATTCCATCAGATGACCTTTTCCAAAAAATACAAAATATAAATATAACAAAGCTATTCCATCAGATGACCTTTTCCAAAAAATACAAAATATAAATACTATTTTAATGGCCTATTGTTCATCAAGTGCTTTATGTAACCGAATCATCATAACGACCCTGTTGTATATGTACTTTAGCAGGTGAGATAACTGCTTAGAGATGAGCACATAGTGACACAGCTATTAGAATCTGGAGTCTCTGCCCACCTGATTCCAGATCCCTTGTTCTTTCTCCTTCACCAAGGAGCCCTTACTAAACACTCAACTGTTCACTGATAGTCTGATGGGTTAAATCTACCAGCTAGGGAGCTCTGGTGGCCTAGTGGTAAAGCATTGTACTATCAACCTGAAGGCACAAAGTTCAAATTCACCAGCTGGTCCATGGAAGATGGGCAGTCTCCTCTCTTGCTATTAACAGCCTCTGAAAACTGACCGGAGAAAGTCAACTACAAGCCATTTCTGACTGAACAGTATAACAATAATCCCAATGTGGCAATTTGCTTCTGTAAAAATTACAGCTTTGGAAATCCTATGGGGCAGTTCTTTTCCATCCTGTAGGGTCATTAGGAACAGCTGGAGGGTAGTTAGTATCCCCCTTATCAGCTATGTGCTATAATAGACCTCTGCAGGAATGCAGTACTTGAAGGGGCCACTTCAGTGGATTATCTGAGACCTGCCCCTCCAAGGGCCAGCCGTCTTCCCTCTTGGTCCGCTAGGTGGTGCTGTAGGTAGGGTTTTACCAAAGATCGACTGCTTACTCCCAGATTGAGGAGAATATGTGCTCCTTAAATTGATTTTCAAAAGTGCTTTTAGAACTCATATTTGGTCATTAAGGACTGTAGTTCATGTATAGAAAAGTCTGTGAGAGAATTTGAAAAGATAAGATAGTGAAGGGAATACAGGTTTTGGAAGAACTGCTGGATTTGAGCCTCATTTTTCTCATCTGTAAAATATGCCTCTGAAAGACCACCAGTAAGGTGATAAAGCGTCCTCCCTTCCCCCCTTTATAACTACGCCCCTGTTCAGCATGAAGAAGCCAGAGAGTTGGCATCCAATTCCCAAATCAATAAGACAGTTGGTTTAATTACTATTGGAAAATGCTTGTCATTCCTCTGTAGCATCTGGTCCCCACTGGACCCTCATCATTTCCTTCACCTGCTCCCCCCACCAACCAAACTGCAGCTCTGCAACTGCATCCTGGCCCATCCTTACCCTTCTGCCCCCAACCCTCACCTCCTTGTACCCCCAATATGTTTTTCCCAATAAAAAGAAATATGCCTCTGAAGGCTGTGAAGATGAAATGGTAACATTGTTAAGCATCTACAATAGTACTTGCCACAGGACATTATATAGTTCCCTCTCCCCTTAAGGATTTCATAGATTTTTATTTGTGGAAACTTTTTTTAACCTTTGTTGCTAATTTTTGCTCTGTTTTAAACAGTCCTTTGAAAAGAACTCATGTGAAAGAGGTAGAAAGTTAGTTTGCCTGGTGGTATGATGTTATTCATAAAAATCACATTGTGGTGTTTTTTGGATGTAGAGTATCTTAAAAATGTATCTTGGGCACATGTTTATCATAGTTGGCCACAATCTTAATTTCTGAAGAGAGATGTTAAAAGTCCCAGCCCTGTAAGGAAGAGTGAGGAGGAGAAGCAGAGTATGTAGGATTCCCTTCAGAATTCCCATCTGTTAGATCTGGATGGTTTTCACTAAAGGAGGTTTTCAACAAATGGTATGTCTAAATCTTGACACAGTAGGACTTTTGTCTCAAGTAAGTTAATCTCTCTGCCAGTTCCAGTGCATCATTTTCCAGTGATAACTTCAAGATACTTTAGCTTTTTCATGAAGAGAAATATCCCTAATCCTTCTATCCAAGAATGTAAACATGTTTTAGAATTCTTTTTAAATCGGAATGGCAGTTGGCTACTATTGAACTGGAACTATTAGATTTTTATCTTACATTGTTGGATTTGTGCTATAAAAAATAAACTAAGTGTCTTTTTATTTTTCACCACTGTGGATTTTTGCTGATTCAAACAACTTAATTTACTTTTAGATGTTTAAGGGACATTACACTATTGTGTCCCAGTTGTAAACTAGAAAACCTCATTAGATCACCTGGGTCCATAGAAGATACCCAACAATTTGAGCACTCTTGACAGGACAGCTTTATAAATATGTAGCAAAAACCTTTACAGAAAGAAGGTGCTTTTATGTTGTTGTTGTGTTGTCGAGTCATAGGCGACTCATAGCGACCCTAGTAGTAGATTATATAAAGTTAAAAATACCTACTAGGAGGAAAGGCATCATGCAAAATATGGAAGAGAACATGTTGTGTACCGTCAAGTCAGAACCAATTCATAGCTGACCCTTCAGCAAGTTTTCAGTGGTAGTAAAGCAAATGTAAGGAGATTGTCCATTTTTCTCCCACAGAGCAGCTGATGGGTCCGAACCATTTGCCTTTAGGTTAACAGCGAATGAGGCCATACAAACCTTTGCTGCATATGTGGTAGATATCCAGCCTCACTAGTGGTTAGAAAATTAAAATAAAATAATGCGGTACCACTCTATCCACCAAATTGATTAGAATTAAATGTTGTTATCCAGTACAGGAGTGTTCTGGTGGCCGAATGGGTGTGTAGTTACACTGCCAACCCAAGGCTCTTGGCTCAACTCCACCAGCTGCTCCCTGGGAGAAAGATGGGCAGTCTCCTCCCATGTAATTTATAACCTTTGAAAACTTAATGGAGGCTTGGCTATGAGTCAATTCCAAACCAAATGGTGTATAACTAGATTTCCTTATTAAAGATTTTGAAAGATTTCTATTTATTAACGTGAAAAAAGGAAGCTCTGGTGGCCTTGTGGTAAGAAGCTGTGCTGCCAGCCCAAAAATATGCAGTTTGAATCCACCCACTGTTCCATAGTAAAAAGATGAACAAAATTACAGCTTCTGAAAACCTACTGGAAGGTCAGATATGAGTCAGTTTCAACTCAGCATATACATATATTATTATGTAAAGTGTATCTTGTTTAACATGAGTTACCTCAGAAAAGGTAGGGAACTATCATTGTCTTTTATTTAGTATTTGTGTTGCGTGGATAATAAATAAATAGAAAGGATCCCAGGGGTCAGCCAAAGTTCTTTGTCATTATCTAACTCATCTAGATAGATTAATATGACCTTGTATCTTAGAATCTTCCAGTATGGTGTTCTCATAGTCATTTGTTCCCACATTAAACAGATGGACTTACTCTACTGAGGAGTTGCTTCATGAAATCTATCCTAAGTCATTCCTTTAGTCAAAACATTCTCCGTAGAGATAATTTGGAAAACCACTTATGCCATCTTTACGTCTATTCATTTCATAAATTCCAAAGTCTAAGTTAGTGGTCAAATAGAACTAGGGAAAGAAACCAGGAATCCGTTTTTTTTTAATTGGTTCATTTTGTTACAACCAGAAAAAAATTTGTTCCCTTCGGTCTAGACATAGATGAACTGCTTGAGCTGCCTTTCAGCCCATTTTTATACTCACACTTGCTGTTAAACATTTACCTTTAATTCAGACTTGTAAAAGGATTGTGTCAGGAACCTTTTAGAAGTGCTTAAATTTAATTTGGTTCATTTGCCTCTGGTTATTCACTCAGAAAACACAGGGCTTCAGTTAAACCTCCACTGTAATCCATTGGGAAAAAACGAAAATGTTGGTTTTTCTGAGTACTACTCAAGGCAAGACTTGGTTTTTGTTTTTTTTTTTCCTGTGTAAGAAACTTGGAAGGGTACAGTTAGGAATAGGCTTAGTAGTGCCAAGGTGGTGTAAATGGTTAAACACTCACAGTGTAGGCAGTTTAAGCCCACCAAAGAGCACCTTAGGAGAAAAGCCTGATGTGGGAATATGCTTCTGCAGAGATACAGCCATTAAAACGCTATGGAGCAGTTCTCCATGGCATGAGGTTGCAGAATTGGAATCAGCTCAAGAGTAGCTGAGTGGACTGCGGTCCTTAGGAATTACATTAATGTATGCTTTAATTAGATTTTGTATGCTATGTGAGTTAACATTTTTTTAAGTGGAAATGGCTAGGCCTTATATCTACTGTATCCATGATTGTATGTATAGAGACATAGAGTTCAAATTCCTGGACCAAAGATAATAAATACTAGCAAGTCTGGAAAATGTGTTCTGTGGTAGGGCCCTGCCATTGACCTGGCTCAATTTTTTTTCCTGCAAAAGTCTCCTGTCCTTATGGACCTATCTCAGACAGGTGCTAACTACACAGGACTATGTGCTAATGTCTTCTGTGAAACCATGCTCATAGAAAGGATGGTTATTCCAGTTAAAAGGAGAATATGAATTGAAAGTTTTAGCTCCAACTTTATTATAAAAGAGGAATGTTCTGTTATTTGCAAGAATATTTACTACTTAACAGTGTTACCACCGACTTAATTATTTCACTGCAGACCTTTGGGCTTTTGGATATATTTATGCCTCAGTAATATTTTCATCTAGAGCTTAGTTAGAATGCTGGAAGGAAAAAGACTTTGCTATCAAGAAAAACCTTTCAAAAGGTCAATTCAGAAAAGGAACATGAGAATGGTTGCACACTTTGAATAATGTAATCAGTGTCACTCTTGTACATGTATAAACTGCTGTACTTTCTCTTGTGTATGTTTTCAACTCTAAAACAAAATAAACAATTAAAACATAAAAAAAAAAAAAAGAAAAACCTTTCAAACCCCTATCATCAGTGTTCCAAGTCTTCTGAACACTTAGCAGCAGGTAGCTAGTAAGTTGGAAGAGAGCAATTCAGAATGGCCAGCTAGAGATGTTATTACCGGCAGTCACCCTGGAGTAGGAAATTAGGATTATATTTTTAAATTGTTATTTGCATTTCAGTAATACGGTTTCTTAGATTTGAAACTTTATGTAGTACCCTAGCAAGATTCATTGTTACTTGGTTGTAAGGATAAAAAAATCCAGAACTATGTAAAAATGATTTTGAGATAATTTTCTACCTTTAGTGTTCTGTCCTAAAGAGCTCTGATGGTGCAGTAATTAAGTGCTTGACTGCTAATTGAAAGGTCTGTGGTTTGAAACTTCCAGTTGCTTCCTCAGACAACATTCCTTCTGTAAACATTACAGCCTGCTAGGTAGTTCTGCCCTGTTCAGTAGTGTCACTGTGAATCAGGATCAACTCAGCAGCAGTGTTGATGTAGCATCAATCAAGCCAGTATTATTTTTCTTTTCTCCAGCTGGTGTGATAGATGAAGATTACAGAGGAAATATTGGTGTTGTACTGTTTAATTTTGGCAAAGAAAAATTTGAAGGTATGTTAAGTACATATGCCCACTTGAATGTAATGAACTTTGTTTTCTATGAATAATAAGTTAACTATTAATTCTAATTAATCATAGTAAAATTTAGATAATATCAATAAAATATTACTAATAAATGTTTTGATTTTTTTCTTCTTTTTTAAAGTAAAAAAAGGTGATCGGATTGCACAGCTTATTTGTGAACGGATTTTTTATCCAGAAATAGAGGAAGTTCAAGTAAGTATCATAAAAGTTGAGTAGGGAAGAAATGATTGCAAGTGAAGAAAATAGAACTTTGCAGATTTAATATGCTATTTATAACTAAATAATATAAATGTTGAATCCTGTATAAGACCGTCAACAAGATGGAATAACACAGTGACTGCAGCAGTGGGTTTAGGTTTGTCAGAGATGATGAGACTGGCACAGGATAGGACAGGGTGCAGAAACGTGTTTTGTACAGTCGTGTTGAGTCATACTTGACAGTATTACAAAAACATTTTAAGCAAAATGAGAATATTGATTTTTAGAATTTATGTGGTTTTTTCCATTAAATATAGCATTCCTTTGGATAGTAAATAATTCCTTTGAGATTCTAATTTTTCCTTAGGGCTTTTGAAATAATAAGACATTCCAATTTATGAAGCTGTTTTAGTGGGGTTTTTTTTTTGTCTGGTGGGTGGTTTGGGTTTTTTAGCAAGAACAAAAGTATTATTATAGTTTAAAACTAAGAGGCTCCAAAATTAACTGTGTCTTAACCATTTTTATATCTTCTTAGGTTTTGGATGACACTGAAAGGGGTTCAGGAGGTTTTGGTTCTACTGGAAAGAATTAAAACTTAGGCCAAGAGTTGAAAATATGCTTCTGTCTCATCTCTTATTAATTACACTTTTTCTCTCCCAAATCTTAAAATAAAGAGTTTGCACTTAGTGTTTTGCTCTTCTGTTTTAATTTCTAAAAATACACAATTCTCTTAGGGTCAAAGATAGGGCATATCTTGGGATCACATAGAAATTTACTGTTTTTCTGTTGATTGTTGTATGTAATCTGCTTTAGGAGAAGCTATTGCAAGCATTTTCAGTTAATCATATGTATAGATTTATATCATTTACAAATACCAAAAAACATTTGATTCTGTACATAATTTATATAATAAGGAATGCCTTTCAATAAACATCCCTTCTTTCACAGATATAAATTATTGCACAAAATACTTAATAAAGATAAGATTGGGCAGTCTCTTCCTGTGCAGTTTACAGCCTCTGAAAACCTATTGGAGAGTCAGCTATGAGATTGCACATGACAACAGTAATCAAATACACTAATCAGGTACTTGTTAGTTCAAAGCCTATGTTTACTGTATCTTTGATCTCCAAGTAGTAGAGTAGGGAGAGGGGAAAAGTTGGTTGGTGCCGTGGAGGCAGCTGAACCTCCAGGATGTTCTCAGATGCAGTAAATCACACAGGATATGATGCCCATCCTCTTAGAGCAGCTGGTGTATTTGAACTGCATGTGCATGCCTTTGGGATTGCAGCTCAGCATCCTAGCAGTAGGCCACTATTGCTCCCTGGATGCAAGTCATTCATGAATTTCCATCTGTACACCATACTTCTTTCTAAAGGGAGGTACTCAGGACATTGGAATCTTTGTATGGGAAATAGAGAAAAGACTTGGGGATGTTTTATTTGGAGATGTAATATGTGGGTGCAAAGTAAGAGAGAAGCCTGATTGAAGGAGGTCCCTGGGATGTGATGTTCTGAAATTTGTAAAGGCTTGAAATTTTAGGCTTGCTATATGTGACCTGATTTGGCTTCTTACTGCCCTAATGGAATTGTCATAGTTCTACTTGCTACATGGATGATAATCTGTATGTCATCCCACAACGCCTCTGTTCTGCCTCACACCTGTTAAGGTGATTTTTAAATTCAGATGGGATAGACTCAAGCAAGGTTGTATTTTGGTTCTTATGAATTTGTTTTCATTTTCTTCAGCTTCAATTTGATCTTGCACAATTGTACCTGATGGTCTGTTCAACAGTCAGCGCCTGGCTTGGTTTTGACTGCTGAAATTGATCCTCCAGTGATTCTTTCCACAGATACAGTCAATCTGAATTCTATGAAGTCCATCAGGTGATATGTATTGCCTTTTGTTTTTAAGTTATTTCCTAAGAATTAATTTATCGAACATACAAAATTGAGTCATGTGTTCTCCAGGCTCATTTGTGTCACCAAATCTATAATTTCAGAATGCCATTCCTTCCTCAATTGTTTCAGACTACAAAAAGTTAGAAATCCTCAGTATACCTTACGGCTTTAGCTGTTGATACGTATTTGAGTAGTAGTCATACAGAAATATATATTTGAGTAGTAGTCATGTAGCGTTGAGGACTTTCCTTCATAGGGTCGCTGTGAGTCGCCTGTGACCTGATGGCACTTAACAACAATAACATCAACATAGAGATCAGCTGGCCCAGTGGACAGCATTGCTACCAAGCCAATGGTGGGTGACTTTTAATCCGCGGCCCCTGGGCCTGTCTTTCATTGTTTTTGTTCAGACATTCCTCTAGGTCATATAGCTCTGGTGTGCAAGTTGCCGTACAGTGGTAACTTGTGGTTGCTGTGAGGCGGAACACTGTGACACTATTATGTTAATGGTTGGCTACACAATGTGGACAGAGGGTGGGGTGGAGCTCCTTGATTAAAACAAGCATGGAAGGAGGAGTGGCATCCACTTTGTAATAGCTTGCCTCCGGAAACCCTATGAACGTGGAGAGAGGATGAAGACACCCAAGCGTTGAGGACTCTTCTTTATAGGGTCGCTATGAGTCACTTGCAACTCAATGGCACTTAACAACCACAGTAGTCATATTAACATGTCTTCCTTTTATGTGTATGGATAGTATCCTGTCATAATGTTGTACTTTAGGATACTCAAATTGTCTTTTAACTAAGACTGCAACACCATTCTTTCTCAGTTTTTTGTTCCCAGCTTGATCATATCATGAACTGATTCAGTGTCCCACACCAATTCATCTTAAATGTTGTTCCTGCATTCCCTTTCATTTTTTACTCCTGATTTTCTTCCACACTTTGTACATTCGATGCTCCAGTTATTAATGGTTGGTTGCTGCTGTATCTCCTTTTTTGAGTCACTTCCCTGTCAGGCTCCACCTCTAATACAGTGGCTGTCTACATCCCTCTATTGTTCATAGGGTTTTTGAAGGCCTGTTGTTTTAGTGGATGGCCAATCCTGCTTCCTAGTCTGTCTTAACGTAGGAACTCTACTGTGGCCTGTCTACCTTCAGTGACCCTTCTGTCACTATGCCAGTGATGGCATAGTTTCTAGCATCAAAGCACTCCACAGATTATACCACTACAGCAGTGTAACAGATAAGTGCTGTACTAATAAAAGCAATTAATGATAAGCAAGTATGTATATACCTAAGCCATAAAGTTATTGTGTGTCAGTTCGAACTGACCCATAACAGACCCTCTAGCAGGTTTTCAAAGGCAGTAAATTACACAGGAAGTGTTTGCCTGTTCTCTCACAGAACACCTGGTGAATTCGAACCACGTGACTAGGATTACAGCAGAGTTGTGCTAAATAACAACATGCAAATAATTCTCCAGTATAACAGACTGACAAGTGGTGTATCTCTAAAAGTAAGCCATAAAGACAATTGAGGGTAAATATATTATTGCTCAGGACAATGGGCAGAAAAGCTAAACAGAAGATTTCAAGAGCAACTTGAGAAGATAAAATACAACAAAATGTGCAAAGACCTGCAGTTAATAAATATAAAAAACGGGGAGGGGTTTGTGCGGGGAGAAGGGTGCAACAATGAATGGAATTCCAAAATCTCTGTAGATGTTCATTGAAATGAAAAATAAACAAATTAAATTTTAAAAAATAAATATAAAAAACCTCAGTATTTCTTAAGTTGAAAGAACTGAAAAATTCAAGCCTCAAATTGCAATACTAAGAGATGCTATGGGCAAAATCTTGAATAATCCGAGAAGCATCAAAAGAAGATGAATACACAGAGTGTTTGTAGAAAATAGAATATGTCAACACTGGACCATTCCTGAAAGTACAATATGAACACTAACAAATTGTAGTAAATAGTGCAGCTGCTTTGAAGGCTTTGACAAAAAAAAAAAAAATAGGAAATAGGGTGGCAGAATTGATGGGATATTAATTGGCATGCTTCATTCAACTCAGCTCAGTTTTAACTAAGAAGCTGTTGTCTAAATTTTCAAAGGGAACATTGCATGTGTGTGTCAGGGTTGTATCCTTTGTACGTACTTCATCTATATGCTGAGCAAATCATTAGAGAGGCTGGCTTCTAGGAAGGAAATTGTGGCATCAGGATTAGAGAAAGAATCAACAACCTGTTTTAGGCAGATGACACAACCTTGCTTGCTGAAAGCCAGGAGGACCTGAGGCACATAGTGCAGAAAAATAAAATACTACCACCATATGGATTGCATCTCAACGTCAATAAAACTCTCACCACTGGATGGATAGGCAACATCATGAAACGTTCAACGGTTTCATCTTTGGATCCATAATCAACACCCTTAGTACCAGCAGGTCAGGAGATGTATTGTACTGAGCAAGTTTGCAATCAGAGCTCTCCAAATTATTGAAGAGCAATGATGTCAGTTTGAAGACAAAGGTGCATCTGATTCAGGGCATGGTCTTTTAATCACTTGCTATGCACCAGATCTGGACAATGAATCTTGTGTTACGTGCCATCAAGTCAACTACAACTCATAAACATGCTATAAGCAACGGCTTTGAACCTTGCCCTATTCTAAGCCAATCTCATCTCTGACACACCTGACATCATTGTCACAGTCACTGTGTCAATCCATCTTATCCAGGGTTGTCTTCTCTTTCTTACACTGACCTTTTACTCTTCCAAGCATGATGCCCTTCTTCATGGACTGGTACCTCCAGAAAACATGTGAGGTGGAGTTTCAAAATCCTTGCCTTCAAGGAGTAATCTGGTTTCACCTTCTACAGGACAGATCTATTTGTTCTCTTGGCAGTCCCTGCAATGTTCAATACTCTTCTCCAGCACCACAAGTCAAAGGCATCAGTTCTTCTGTCATCCTTAGTAATCATCCAACTCACAGATGCATAGAAGCACATGAGAAGACCGTAGCTTGTAACAGATGCACTTGCTCATTAGACTGACATCGTTGCTCTTAAGCAATCTGGATAGGTCCTTGACAGCAGATTTTCCCAGCGCAACTTGTGTTTTTGTTTCCTGATGGTGCCAAGGGTGTTGATTGTGGATCCAAGCAAGATTAAATCATTAACTTCAATGTTTTCTCCATCTGTCATGATGCTGCCTATTGACCTGGTGGTGAGGACTTTTGATTTCTTGATGTTGAAATGCAGTCTGTATTGAGGTTACAGTTCATTTTTTTCCGCAGCAAACACTTTGAAGTCCTGTTTCAGTGAGCAAGGATGTGTCATCTGGTTGTTGATAAGTCTTCCTCCAATCCTGATGCCACATTCTTCTTCACAGAGACCATTCTCTTGAATGATCTGCATACTATGTAGCACTCAGGAGCAATGATTTAAAAAAAATACTATGTAACTTGGGAAAGACTGGAGAGCATTACCGCTGTATGAACTCAGTCTCATAAGGACAACCACTGCATAAGACCATTATTGTAAAAATAGAAGGATAACTAGTAAAACATATGGGGACTGAAGGGGTTTGAGCAGAGAGGTGAGGATGGGTAGGGCTGAAACCACAGGGCTGCACAGTTTGAAAGGTGAAGGAAATGGGAAGGATCCACGAGGGACCTGAAAAGATTGGGAAATGATGGGCAAGATCCAA